TATTCAGTAAATGGTGCTGGGAAAACTGGCTGACCACATGCAGAAGACTCAAACAAGACCCCTATCTATCCCCATACAAAAAAATTAACTCCAAATGGATTAGAGACCTAAATGTAAAACCTCAAGCAATAAGAACCTTAGAAAATGCAGGACACACCCTTATGGAAATTGGAACTGGCATCCAATTCCTGAACAAAACCCGAAACCCACAGGCCATAAGAGATGGGACCTCACTAAACTGACAAGCTTCTGCAAAGCCAAAGAAACTATCAAGAGAGCAGGGAGGTATCCCACAGACTGGGAAAAAGTATTTGCCAACTCCAGGTCTGACAAAGGCCTAAAATCTTGGATCTACAAGAAACTCAAACATGCGAAAAAGAAAAATCAAACAACCCCATTATAAAGTGGGTAAAAGATATTAACAGACACTTCTCATAGGAAGACATCCGAGCAGCCAACAGACACATGAAGAAATTTTCAGCCTCCCTAATCATCAAGGAGATGCAAATCAAAACCACACTGGGATATCACCTAACTCCAGTCAGAATGACAGTTATCAATCACTCAAAAAATAACAGTTGCTGGAGAGAGTGTGGTGAAAAGGGAACACTTCTACACTGTTGGTGGGAGTGTAAACTAGCGCAACCTCTGTGGAAAGCAGTGTGGCGATTCCTAAAAGCTCTAAATATCAACCTCCCATATGACCCCGCAATCCCCCTACTGGGAATATATCCTGAAGAACTCAAATCACTCTATCAAAAAGATACCTGCACACGTATGCTTTAGGAAGTTTTTGAGGATGGGGGTTTTGGTGCCCTTTCTGTGGTCTGTGGAGACAGCAGGAAGTTCTCATTTCTGGATCAATGTTGAACTGGGATGCGCGGCTTTTGTGTCATATCCGTCCCCTTTAGATGCTTGGGGCAGTTTAGCTTTTTACATCTTCTAGGAAGAGCGCCCAGTCTTGGGGCCATACCGCCCTGAACGTGCCTGATCTCATCTGAAGAGGAGCCCAGATTTGTCAAACCCTTGCTGGGGGTAGGATGTCATCCTTTGGCTGGCCCCAGCCTGTTCTCAGTAGTGAGAGGCTGGGGCCAGCAGGAACCCCTGGTATGGAGGAGGTTGTTCTTAAG